GGGGGGGGGATGGGCTAACTTTACAAAAGGAGGGAAAATTAAGAATCATTATCAAGAATACTTAGAACCAAGTTTTCATTAATGACCTCTTTAAAAATAGCATTTTAGGTTTTTGAAAAGTTGATGTTTAAAAACAAAAATGTGTTATTGGTGTTCACAGTTGATATGTCAAGGTCATTCACTCACCTGAACACATGTTTCTTCAGGGCTACGTCCTGATACTTCATATAAAGTACCAAAATCAAGAGTGTGAACAGGAATATGCTCCATTTTGTGGAGTAATGCTGGTCCCAAATGGGTAGTTTGGCCTTGAAGAGAGTTTTCCCCTACCAATAATAAATGCGGTCTATGGACAAGTCGTCCAATACTTTGCCTAAAAAATATAAAAAATCCCAATGAAAACTATATTTTATAAAATAATAATGAAAAGATATTAGCACAAAAAGCCAAAACGAGTTCATCAGTCACATTTTCTTAAGTTACATGTATGAACAAGTGTTAATCTACTTTTTCTATCAAAGTCAAAATCAAAAATCCATGTAAAGAACATCACTACATCATTTCATTTGGTGTTTTCAATTCCATTTCATAATACAGACTAAAATTGTAACTAACATCACACAGCCAAAGAAAATGTATTTTAATTACTTTTTTAATCCAAATTATTCTACTGGTTCTTCAAATTTCAATTATCATCATCAAATGGAAAGACACATTCTTCTACATGTGTGTGTAACATACACAGCATTGCTCCCATTACTTACCTAGAAGTAGTCATAACATAAGGAAAAGTTTCCTTAAGCATATTCACACCCTTTTCAAAAATACTTTTGAGCAATGGCTCGATAAGAATGGAAAGTTTCCGAGCAGGTGTTGGAGACACTCTGTGAGCTGCTGGTATTATGTTGCACTGAGCTCTTTGAAAATCAACTTTCTCCACCTATCCAAAAAAAAAAACAAGAATCAATTAAATGGAAGGCACACACTACTAGGTATCAATTTTCTTTGTGCTTAACATTGGTGAATCATGAAATGACATAAAAAGGGAACTGATATGCACTTCAAATCATTAAATAAGTATGCATTTCTGCACTCAAAACCAGTGAGATCCCCCCCCCCCAAAAACAACCACAACCACACACAGTCAGAAAATGTACATAAAATGAGGGAGTATTATTGATAAATTACTTTCAATATCGCTATATGTATTACTTTTATATCCTCTCTAAAGTACTGCATTTTTCATTCACAAAGCATCTCTGAAACAACTTCAAGAAAATTTCTGATTATTTTTCCCACAATATTTGCACCAGTGGTGTCTCACTGCATCCATTTCTATAGCGAAACCCTTCGTTTAAGCACATTCTTTGATTCTATGTGAAACGCCCATTTGCACACAATTACCACAGTCAGTAGTCCTGCTACAACCTGCACTGTGATGAAATGAAATGATTAATTTATGTTATTTTCTTCCAATTCATCCTTCTATGTTGCACATCCAATCCTACCTGTATATGGATTGCTACATGACTGATTATTGTTCTCAGGATACAACAGCTATCAGCTATTGCAAATTAACTGAGTTGATAATACAGACTGCTCAGTTCCCCACATTGTTACTATAATGAATGATTAGCAGAACCCAGCAGACTGTAGTTGCAGATTCTGCATGTCTCTGAACAGGTGGGGTAATATCAAGTACCGGCAGACTAATGTCGCTCATGTATATGCCGAGTAGAAATGGTACTAAGTATGACCTTTGAGGAAATCCTCTAATAACCTGCCTCTGTGATGAAAGCTTACTGCCAAAGCTCACCTACAAAGTTCTGACAGATGTATATACCTCTGCCTGAAAATCTGTGACAATGATCAAGCCTATATTTGCTCTTAGGGTAAGAGGGTAAGATTGTGATCGTTTGTTAGTACCATGTCACGTACAGCCCTGGGGCCTCCCGGAGGATGTAAACCAAGGCATTTTCTCAGAACGCAGGAGTCAGCAAAGAGAGGGGGATGGTGTGTGATGATGGCCAAGGCCTGCAGGGGACCCCATTTGCAACCGGGCCCAAATCTCCCAACAAAGAGGTGTGCAGTCCACAAGTCATCTGTGTGGGAGGTCGACATGTAGTTCCTTGCAAAAGAGGTTAGCAAAGGAACAGCTGACAATGTCAGATGAATACAGGGCGGAGGCAAATGGACCCTTGAGGGAATAATTGTAAGCGGCAGCTTGTGAAGTGTGGCTTTTGCCGCAGGACGAGAGGGCGAAGGGCACATAGTCTGTGTATCACGCTGGGGCGGCTTGGCCTACCATTTTCCACTGTAGCATTTCATTATGTTCTCTTTACTATGAAAGTATGTAGAAGGCAAGTTAAAAACCAAATACATTAGTTCTATATAAATAATACATATTAAAACAAAAACACAACATTTAATGATTCTAACATTAATACCATCACAAGATCTTACCATCACAGCTTCGGGATCAAGTAGTAATTTCTGACTTGATTTATAAATTTGGGGGTATTTTCGTCGAAGACCTTGTATTACTGCTTCAGAGCATAAAGCACGCAAATCAGACCCACAATATCCAACAGCCTGCTCAGCCAAATTATTTAAAAGTCCAACACTTGGAGGCTGTGCCCATTTACTAACATGAATCCTAAGTATTTCTTGACGTTCCTTAAAAAGTAAGAAAACAAGTTCTCAATAGGACGTACTATACCAAATATAAAATTTTAACAGACAAAAAATTTTTGAACTTCCTCACTTTCTTGGCTGGAAGAGGGAAAAACAATTCTCTATCAAATCTACCAGGTCGACGCAGTGCAGGATCTATGGCATCGATGCGATTAGTAGCACCAATAACAATAATTTCTCCTCTATCGTCAAGACCATCCATTAAAGCCAATAGAGTAGATACAATACTAGCATGTATTTGGTCTTGCTTGGAAGAGCGGACAGGAGCAAGCCCATCTATCTCATCGAAGAAAATAATGGACGGACGCATTTGATATGCCTAAAAAGACAAGAATTTATACTTTATACTACTGCATTCACATAACAAACCACTACAAATTGTACAAGGATCTTGTGAGAAGTATCCCTCCTTAACATAATGCTACAAAATGAACACAACTTCACTTTCAAATATGATTTGAAGCTACCTGCCAACAAAAAATTATCACTTTTTATAGTTTCTCTGTAATGATATTGTTCATCAAAGTAATTTGCTAAATATTTTGAGATAACAATTCTGATTAAGAATATGAGAAACATCACTAATTGTTATTTTCCTTCTGCAATATACATAATATTGATATTTTTTAGATTAATGATAAAACTTTTAAAAATAGTTAAATATTATTTTTTAGTTGATGAATAGTTTGTTTCATTACACATTTCTCAATACAATTGCTACATTTGACACATTTGTTATATGTATCTTCCTGCTGTCTCTTTCTTTCACCTGAGTTGGAATGCATCTGCACCCAGCATTGGCTCTGCATTAAAGGATTAATAATAATAATAATAATAATAATAATAATAATAATAATAATAATAAAGAAGATGGCCCAGCAGCCAAAATCAACACATGAGAACAAATTCAATGTTACTCAATCCACCCACACAATAGTGAGGGGGGATAATAATGAAGACAACTTACTTGTTCAAATAGAAGTCTCAGCTGTCTCTCTGATTCACCCACCCATTTGCTCAGGCAATCAGCACCTTTTCTCATAAAGAATGAAACTTTACGATCTCCCTGACTGCATTCATTAGCCAGAGCTCTAGCAATCAGTGTCTTCCCTGTACCTAAAAAGCATATGCAATTATAAAATGAATACTAAAATGCAAATCAATGTCTTTGATGTCTCAAAAATTAGTTTTTAAATATACATTAGAAATCCTAGTTCACCCCAACGAATTTGAATTCAAGACACATAACATGTAAAATTAACATTAAGTTGTGTTTTATAAGCCAAAGATCACTTTGATTCTTTAAACAGAAAATAAAGCTGCTTTGAGAATAGCATTTTAGAGTTTTAGTGATTATTTTTTAACATCCTATTGCAGTTAAACAATTCAGAAAACTATATTTTTCAAAATTCACAGAAAATTAGGGCAATTGCCCCTAGTATTATCAATAACATTTCAAACTGGTGTATCCATTGATTCACTATTACATGTATCAGAAGTCTAAATAAGTTAATTTTACTACACATCCAATATCGTACTACTACTATTATTACTACACACCTGGTGGTCCGTGGAAGAGAACACCTTTTGGAGGTTTGACGCTGTACTTTTCGAATATCTCTCGATACAGCATCGGAAAAATAACCATTTCCTGCAAACATCTGATATGACTCTCAAGTCCCCCTACATGCCGAAAACCAATGCTCGTGTCAAGAGACATTGGATCAGTATCTGCTAATGTTTGCTTTCCATCTTGATTTCCTTTAGGCATATCATCTGGATATAAATTCAAAGGCATACACCTGCAAACAATGTATATTTTTTGGATTGTATGGCAAGATTCTTTTATAGCAGTTTCAGTGTTTTTTGAACACTTGAATTATGTGATCCCTACAATTTCAAGTCTTCAGATTTCTCTGAAGTCCCATGTTTTTAGAGTGTCTAGCCAGAGCTCTTCCTAAAATTCCATATCATGTACAATATGACTCCCTGCAAATGCTAAGCATTCACTTGAAAATGTAGAAATTGATTAGGCAATTATTAGAAGTTAAGAACAATCATGAAACCATGTGAAATGTGGCAATGGCAGATACAACCACGAGTTAAAATTACTACCTCAAGCCTTGTGACATTGGATGAGAAACACCAGGAATTAACATTATCTTTTTTCGCTCTTAATTTAAAAGTAGTATATTGTGTCAATCTGCCTGACTTGCCCTGAATATAGATAATTTCAAAAATGCTTTTATAGGATGGCTGCTCATTTGCTGGACTATGATTTTTAAAGAATAATAACTCTTAATATAACCCAAAATTTTCCCTGATTTCTAACGATTCTCCTATAAACGTCCTGGTCCCCCCACCCCCAACTTCTCCAGAGCAATGAAATTCCCTCATTTTCCAGTTAAACATGTTTCCCACACCCTGTTTCACATCTGCATAGGAAATGTTAAAATGCGATTTTTGAGTCGCTGATTTTGCAGTCTGGTCAGCTCACTCATTGCCAGCGATTCCCACATGGCCCAGAACCCAACAAAGCACCAAGTCAGTGGTGAGACAACAGATAGTGAATCAGGTGTTATACTATCATCTAAAGGTCCAAGGGAGAAAGGGTTAAGAGTGATTGAAGTGCACAACCAGAATCACTGCATACAACTTCACGGGGTGAACTTGTTTCAATATATTTCAAAGCTTGCAGTGCAGCCAACTTTGGCAGCAAATACACAATAGAAAGGGTGAATTTGAAATGAGTGAGTAGTCATTCTACAATAGAATGCATAAACTACAGAATCATTCATGATCTAGCTGCCAGTGTACAGGAAAGTGTAGTCAGGATAAGTGAGCCCCAAAACCCTAGCGCTGACAACACAGCAGCAGCTGACCACCTAGGAAAAGCTCTGGTTTGGATATGGAGGTGGAAATGCAGAAATGCTTGCAGCACATTTGTCATTGAAAAATTAAAACCCATAGACTCACTCCACTGACCCAATCTATTCGGGACAAGTTGAAGTTGCCATTCGAATAACCAGACCTGACAACGCTTTTTTCATTAAAAAACTAAAGAACTTCATTAACAATTCAAAGAACTAATATACTTAAGTTTGTTTTTGCTTTAAAGTCAAGAAACATACAATTAGGTGAATATAGCTGACTAAAGAAATTACGGTCTTGCAATTCTTCCATTTTCTTCATCTGGAACTTACCTTTTACGATCTATTTTAACACTTCTGTTGACTGAAGTTTTCTTGCGATCAAATCTTTCTTCATCACTGCTAGTGGACGAATCATCACATGTAGGGCGATGTCTCCTTCGACGAACAGAATTACATAACACAGATCGAAGAATACGTGATGGACGAGGGGGGTCTGAAATTAAAATTAAAAATAATATTCACAAAAATTCTTAAAATAAAACTACAGCATCAAACTGTTCAAATAGTGTCCAGGGTTTGGAAACCAAGTATTTTGGTTTCAGTTTTTGATAACAAAAGTTACTCAGAAGTGTAGGTCTTACGCTCTGCAAGTTTACTTTTTAAAATTATTTTTATTAAAATAATGGTTTGTTATAATTATTACCATAGTTGTTTGTCTATGTTTTAAATATTTTCTCACAATCGTTTTTTCAAAATTAAAACATTTAAAATTAATACTAATATCATAGAATTTGACAACAATCTATTTTTTTAAATATTTCTTTCCTTTTCAGAAAAAAATCTTTAACAAAAAATAACATAATTATTATAAATCTAAATGCCTAACCAAAATATTAAAAATAACTTTTGTAATTGCATTGCACACATTTCCTTCATTTTCAATAAAGCAGGGCCTGCTACAATTCTGTGGTCACAGGGTGAAAAGCGAAATCTTTAATTTGGAGAAAACAAGGGTTCATTCTTGAACCATTATTGATGAGCAGTAAGACAATATAATTTCAAACACTTTCTTTTTTGCAACATTTGAATTCAGTCGTTTTATAAAAATAACACATGCAGAATATGTAAGGTGGAAAATAGTGAAAGCATTATATGACGGACTGCCTTGACCTGCTCAAACCCTGCCCTGTGCTTCCTTACCTGAGCCTGATACTACCTGCCTACTGTCAGGTTAAGCATGATATCCACATTTCAATTTTTTCTCTCCCCCCCCCCCTGTAGTATTAATTTTTCATATAACGAATTTTCTGCAATTGAACTGAGTAGTTCATCCAGAATAAGGTTGTTTACATAACAGAAGAAAGAGGGGGTGGGGGGGATTGTACGCACCTGCACTGGCTTGAAATCTATCCACAGTGGGTTTTGTCTTCCGCAAATGATACTTTCCACGCCGTCTCCCTCTTGCAGTGTCACATTCAAAACTCTCATCTGATGAAGTACTTTGGGTTTCAGTGGCATCTTCCTCACTGACAGCTAAAAAGTAACAAATTTTAGAAAAAAATTCACCCTTAGAATTTTTTAAAAGAGGATAACTGCATTTAACTCACTATTTCTAGATCTTGATTTACTTTTTTTCTGGTCATATAACACATTCTGTGCAGCTCTTCGTGGTCGCTTCACTCTTGTATACATATCCTCGTAGCTCTAAATTAACAAAGACAAATACATGGCAATATTTGAAATAGTTTTTAACACTACAAAAACATTTTCCCCCATTCAGGTGCCAATTCAAATTATTTGATCTCTGACTGTTATAGCACACACATTTTCACAAGTAATAATGATTTGGATTTAATGAGATAAAACTAGAAAGATATTTCTCAATACTGTTTTTAAACACAAAAAAACTTGAATTAAAATTGTGATTTTTCATTCCACACACGACTAATTTTGATAATATATTTTTTTAACATTGAAAAAATCAATTATTTATTTACTTACACATATCTAATCCATTTCAACTCTCTGGGATATGGCTTCCTTCTTTTTATCACATTGCTGATTATGTGAAAAACTTTTCAATTTAGAAAATAATGTGAATTCATCATTACATGGAACTGAAACTTCTTTGCCAATTTTCTGAATAATAAGCACACCTTATTAGAGTTTCAATTACTTAGAGCAAGAAAAAATACTTTTTATTTTATAATAATAAATTTTATTAATAATTTTAATTTATAAAAATAAACTCAATGTAATAGTCAGGGCTCTCTATTTTCTGCCTTATTCACTGGAAGATAGTATGATGTCTCATTGTGATAGATCTGACATCCAAATAAAATATTGATTGGATATTATTCAGCGATTACCGCCTTCCTAATGTTACTTGGAATATTAGCAAACATGGTAGCTCTCTCATGTTTAATTGTGCAACATTGCAGTGAGAAACTTCGCCACTGTATTATCCAAAAACAACTTGCTTTCTCAACCTTTTCCAGTGTAATAACATTCTTATTACACACAGAATTATTCTCTATTTAATCTTAACAACAGAGATTCTTTGCACGCATGTTAGTGATACAATTACACTCGAGGATGATTACCATCACAGTTCATTAGACAAAAATGTTTGTACTGGATTTAATGATCAAGTCCATGATGTTGATGCAGAGGATTATCGAAACAATTTTTATGTGCCTAGGATTACTCCTTACATATATTTCAGACCTTACTTGTTTGGAAAATATAATTTCTTTATTGCTTCCTTTTATCCTGGATTGAATCATATTTACCTAAAAAGAGATTAATCATGCCCAAATTTATGGTATGGTATAGCAAGAAATTGAAGATATCGATCAATTTGAAGATTAAAGACCACAAAGAATTCCTACTGACAAATTTTTGGTTTGTTATACCATGAATTTTCCAATCTTAGAAGTGACAAATTTTTTCTAGACAGGATTTAAAGAAGTGTTGTACTGATTTAGGAAACTCTTTTTGTTGTCAACCCCAAAAGCTTTTGTAAATATTATAATTTCAAAAGATCAGAGAAAGGTCTACCTAAAGTACTGTATAATGCTTCCAACTTGTTAGACAATGGCACATACATTGTCAATGACTTTGGTAAATATTTTGCCATGTTCTACAGACCACTCAACAGTGTGGATCAATACTGATGTTGATTTAGCAACCGGGCACCTACTCATCACTAGATATCTCAGTAAATTGCATTTTTCTTACAATTTGTGACCTAGATAATACCAAAAAGGCTGGTCCCAATGGAATTCCCCCAGTACTTTACCTAAATGTAAATTTATTCTTTCGTCTTAACCAGAAATTATGAGACCGCTACCTGAGGGTGTTTTTCCATCGCAACAAAATGTGATTTTATCACACTGATTCATCAGTCTCACTCCAGAAATTATGTTACTAATTACAGATCATCTCTATTCTTAGTGTCTAAGCATTTAGTCTATTTTAACAGATAAAGCCTCCTTGGAAACCAGTTATCTTGGAATTGCTTGTCTTTGTCTTGGAATTGCTGTGCAGCCAACATGAAACTCTTTCCCAATTCTTTGGCACCGCATGCACAGTTGCAAAAACATTTTTCTGAATTGAGTTTTTACTGCAAACCTGAATGAGCCAGAACAGTATGGAAGAAAATGGTGGACTCCAACAATTCCAGCTTACACAGGTTTTACTGTATACGATTAGATCACGACAATCTGTACGAGACGTGTATCAGCTTGTTACAGCTTCTATAAATAAATAAATAAAATTCCCCTACACTTCTCACGCATTTTTATTCATGTACAATTCCCACCTTTCCCACTCGCAATACACCTCAATTCTCAAATTCTTACAAGTCCTCTTCAAAAGTAGATACCCTCAATATACCCTCTTACTGGTTGCTTCGATTTGCAGGAGCATTCACGTAGGGTTTCACTTCTGGAAATAGTTATGGTTGAAATGAATTTCCTTGCTTATGTTCAAGTTTAAGGGAGAAAAAAAGTGTGTTTAGTTAGAAACAAATATAGAATCCAGAAAACTGTTACTGAAAACTCTGAATAGGGCCACTGATCTGATATACACTGAAATACACCTACACTCACATGAAGGTATCTAGTAATGGTGGCAAAGAAATCTCATGTCCGTCTTCCAGTGCTGACAGCTCTATCGATAATGGTCTCAAGACAAAAGCTCCGAATGCAACATTCGTTGGGCTTGGTCTGTAAACCGATAAGCAGTAAGTTTTACTTGCTTGGTGTTGTATCAGATTAGCACAGTTTCTTTTATTTGTTTTAATATCTTTGTATATATTATTTTATAATCATAAGGTCCCTTTGTTTACATCAGGACCATCCTAAGGCTGATCAAAAATTAAATCCTGCTTTTTTATGTGCAACTCTTAATAAAGGCTCAAATAAAAAATCATCAGCTTAGGTGTGCATTATGGTAAAACCTTTTCATACTAATGAAAATGCTCTATAACAGTTTAGTCAATACTTTGTAACATCAATTTTCATAGTAAAATCTTGTGCCATTAATAGCACCATTGGCAACAGATTGGAGCATGACTCACATAAGAGCTGCGAGGAACACTAGCTCGATCCTTGCTTACGTCGTCCACTGGCTGTTCAAGCTCCGACATGGTCCTCCTCTTCTTGCAGGCTTCCTTGTGCTCGTCCCCACCCTCCTGCTCAACCGACTGGTCTTCCTGAAGAACTTTCTCACTATCTTTATCCATCATGAACATGGGATAGCCACGTAAGGTCTGGGTGCCGAGTATCCAGCTGGTGTTGAAGTTGTCATACAGTAGTTTCCGTTGACGGGTGCTCCGCCGAACTCCTAAGAACATCAAAATATTACTTGATATTTTCAACCTTATGTGAAATTTAAATGTAAAAATTTCATTACTATTACAAAACCTTATCAGTTTCATTAATTTTCTTTCGCTTTCCGTCTTAACAATAAAACACAGATTTTTATACCTACCTACTCCATACAAGGGGGTCTTTTGACACCTTTATATTTTCAGCTGGTTGCTGTGATAACTTAATATTTTGTATTGTTATTAATTTCTATTTCTTTGTTTATCTTCTTGATAGATTCTAATATTTATAGACTGGATTTCTATGTAATTACATACTTTTGTCCTATTTACTATTTTCAAAACTGTAATCTTGACGAATTGTCATTGTCCTAACACAATATTCAATTTTTGTGTTACATATTTTTATAAATTTAGTACTGTAATACATATTTTACATATTTTGCTATTTTCAAAAAATATTTTTTCTTTTATCAATTTCATTACATATTTTCTTATGAAAAGAAGTATTTTCCAAATCTGAGAGCTATCACCTCGAGGTATGGTACAAGAAGACGCCAATGGATATTCTCACAGTCCAGAGCGTCCGCTTCAGTTATCTCAGTGATGAGAAGTGCGTGCCAGCAACTGAGAACATTTTTACTTTCAGGAATGAAAAGAATTACAGACACCACGTTTCATGATCTTTAACCCCAATATCTGAGAAACATTGGTGATCTCGGTCAT